ATAGAGATGAGGAAACATGAGTTTCAACCAATATGTGAATTATTTGGGTATCTTCCGCATTCTCCCAGTACAATATCACTAGTTCGCATCCGCGGATCAACAGAAAACATTAACATGCTTGCATTTGTATATTTTCAATGCATACCCCATTCCTTAGAACCATACAGTAGAATTGGCAGGATTTCCGTGTGAAAGATTTTATAGCATAGTTGATGTGAGAGATTTTCAAACTTTAACAACTGCGTTGAACAGTAATGGGAGCCTTGCCATCTTTAAGAGTTAGATTGTTTAAAGCTGCCTGCAAAATGAGATTTCTGGAAAATGGCATCCCAAGGTAGTTGTACGAAGACCAAACTTTAATTGTAGCAAGTTTGTATATCCACGTTTTTCTACAAATTCTGGACCCGTGAAGATCCGGGGTAGAATAGGTCTTCAGCAACCCATGTGCTTGCCATAAAAAGGCGACTAACTTGTCGTAAGAGGCGACTAACGGGATCGGGTGGTCAGTTTCGCTGACTTGGTTGACACATGTCATCGGTTCCCAATAGCGCAGATCGATGCTCATGATGTTGATCACTGGATTGTCTGGTCCAGACTCGATTATTTACAGACCGCCGCCATAGAGCTGGAATATTGCTGAGTGCGGCGTAAACCTAAACTCACTCACTCACTCACTCTACAAATTCTGTCCGTTTGTTTAAATACAACTATTCTTGTCTTGTTTAGATTTGCTGGAAAACACAGTGTTTTGTAGTAATTTCTAAAATACAGTTTTGCTTTAAGTCCAATTACAGAATCGACGTAATATTTAACCCTCTCTCCCAATCACTTCAGTATCAGAAAACAGTAAGTCAGGGAATAACTGAACGTCATTTGTACAAGTGGACGTGATTTCGCCGACCAGCAGTTAATGAAATGAGAACAGAAACGGACTAAGAACACAACCTTGCCATATCCCTATAGGACATTCGACATCCTTCTGTGTTCAAGTTGTTCACTGGTCACAAGGGGGGCATGGGTTCATGTACCCTGGATGCTTGTTTATGTTCCCTGAGCCCGAAGGGCGAGGGGAACACAAACAGACATCGAGGGTACATCAACCCATGGACCCCATGGGCCCCGAGGGACAAGTGAAAAACGTATTTATCTTAACGAACACCTTAATGTTAATTTTGAATTGTTTGGAGCACGGGTATAAATCTTTTTGTAGCCATCGCTAGATTTTGCTGACAAGAAAAAGAGATTGAGAGTTATTGCCCTTCCTTCAATTTGCATTTGCAAAATATCGGTAATTTCCGTACATCATACGTGATTCAATGTTAGTCGAGATAAAGAATTACTACCAGGAAGTACCAAATAAGTTGCCATTGACAGCGCGGTGCATTGAAAAGTTACTGGTTGTAAGCGGGGTACAATGAAAATAATGGAAGAGCGCTCAGCCAATCAGAAAGCGACATTTATGTGTGAGGTAAGATAATATTCGATGTACGCATGCAAACCTTCATATTCTGATATACAGACCTCAACACTTTTTGAAGCATATCCGTTCTTTTTTAATAAATAATAAAGTATGTGTCTGTTGGCGGAATCCAACGCTTTCCAGAAATCAATAAAAACTAAAACAGACATACAGTTTTAACCTTTTTTGAGGAAAATATATTAGTAGTGAGAGTAAGGTAAATACAGTAGAACCCGAAATTATTGAGAATTGTAATTTTTTTTCATTTTCTTCACTCATTACTCACGTATTAAATGTGAATATAAGCAGAACCTAACTCCAGATTCAAAGACAGGTGAACAGCTAGTATTTTGTCAAGTCACCATGGGCAGCAATGAAGTTAGGAAGTCGTGGTCCATGCTGTCCCAATATCGGACCACCTCTTCAGCAATATTTGAGAGATGTTTCTTATTGACACTTTCCTTCATAAGTCCCCAAACATTTTCTATTGGATTTAGGTCAGGGCTATAGCTTGGCCAATCTAATAATGTCATATTTTGGGTCAAAAACCAGGCTTTGCTTTGAACGATGTGTTGGGTCGTTGTCCTGCTGGAAAATCCTAAAATTTCCATAGAACATATGAGCAGATGGAAGTAAATGTCCCTCGAGAATATCTGTGTACCGCTCACTGTTCATATTCCCTTCAAATACACAGAGGGGCGTTGCCTCGAAAACAGATATGCCACCCCACACGTTAAATTTCGGACCGTACTTTGGGCGCTGATACAAAGGTTTTTCAGTTTGTCCAGAATTTCAGTGTATTAGGAAACAGCCACATAGAAAATCACATTGTCCCAGTTAAAATTGTTATGCTGTAAGCACCAGTTCAACCTTCGCTCCTTTTGTTCAGGTTTCATGATCTGTGATGGAATTCCACGACTTTTTTGCCAACCCATTGCATGCAGCTCAGTTCTAATTGTCTCCTTACAGACAGCCACAGTTCCTCTATCAATCATATCCAGCCTTAAGTTTTTAGAAACAAGAATAACAAGCCGCCTCCTGTCATCGGCAGTTTTTTAGGCCTACCTGCGCCTCCCTGGTGCTCAATGCCATGTCCATTTGCAATATTTTTCAAAACACGATAAACAGCGGACTAAGGGATGCCTGTTCTACTTGAAATCACTTTAGCTGATCTGATGTCGTTGCTATAATACCCTAAAATCAATTTCGTCTTCTCTAAATCATCAATACTGAGGATCACTGAAAATGTCGTCTGCTAGCAAGTAAACAAAGGGGGATAACTCTTCACAAACTAATGAAAAAGGATTAACGGAATTATCTCTCTTGAATGAAACCAAGCACTTGATAGCTGGTCAAGGTTTTTATACTAGAAATCCAATTAAACATATTCCTAACATTCTCAATAATTTCTGGTCATACTATATATCATCAAGGATAGACTTTCCTGTTCTGCACCAACTTGTTCTTCTTTAATTTTATCACAACACTTAGCACAGAATACAAGTCCATTGTTTAAGATATTAGCATATAGTATACCAAAATCTGTGAGAAGTAGCACGGTAATTTTCATGTAACGTTTTATCTTCCTTTTAATAAAATGTGACAATGATAGTTTTCTACCAGAACATAGATAATATGTCTTTATTGTAAAAATAATAGAATATAATTTCCAGTTATGTACACGTACTCAGTCGTTTTATTCGTCTTAAGTTTGGCAATACTAGCATGTACTTCAACGTTACTAATTGTTCATCAAACATATTATCAGGGGTTGACAAATCACAGCTAGCGATGGATTGAAACACCACCGGCTAGGCTTTTCAGTTTTTAGGAATATGGATTATCCATTGCCGCATTCATATCAGGTAATTACTTATCATCGTGATTACGCTTTAACGAGCCGATTCGTATGCATTTGGCGTATTCCCATACTGCCTACAGGTTAAAACAACATGATACGGTCCAGTTATCAGGAAGTGAATACACCGATCTGACCTGTTCTACCCCTGCTAAAATGAACTTTGACTAGTTAGCTGGTTGATTCTATAGTGTCTTCCCATTCTGTCTACAAAAGTTTAAAACAATGACAAGTGTTGGTTGGTAGGACATCTTTACATGTATTTATCATGAAAAACTGATAGGCTTTACAGTCTTTTAGTGGTTTCACAGTATTTTACTTGTTTCCACTGCCCTGATGGCTGACGACCCGTGAAGGTCCAGGTTATAATGTATCTTCAGTAACCCATGCTTGTCGTAAGAGGCGACTAACGGGACACGTGTCATCGGTTCCCAATCGCACAGGTCGATGCTCATGATGTTGATCGCTGGATTGTCTGGTCCAGACTCGATTATTTACATACCTCGGCCATATAGCTGGAATATTGCTGAGTGCGGCGTAAATCGAAACTCACTCACTCACTGATGGCTGACACCTCAAAGTCTATCTGGATTTTACCAGGCGCATGTTCACCCCCTACCTAGTCCCTAACAACATCATTCAACAACGTGATAGGTAGCCCTCGTACGATTTGGCAACAACACATGCACACATGGATACATATCCCCATTCACCATACAGTGAATGACATACAGCTGATCCCATAGGGCTGGTGCAACATAGAACGTTCCATCCATATACCACTTGTCGGCACTGTTGAGCGTGTTTAGCATGTCCTCTGAAGCAAAAGCCAGTATCTTGTCGTCGTCGTCACCATCATTAATGCACGAGAATTGCTGTCCATCTTCTGTCTGAGTCCATGGTCCATCGAGTTGAACATCAGCTAGAGACTTGGGTAGGTTTGGTAAAACTTTGCTTCTGTGTCGGTAGAGGGAGGACTTTACACTCCAGAACGATCGTACAGACGCTGGGTCAGCAACCGCGGAAAACTCTTCATCGTACAGCTGCCGAATGGATGTGACGTCCTCCTGTACACGCTGACGCAGTCTGCTAAGGAGTCGAATGTCATCTTGAACATAGTTAAAACAATCGAACTTGATCAAATAGGATTAAGTTAATCCTGCTTTGGAGGTTACATTATAAGCATGCTAACTGCTTCCCAAAACAAAATAAAACAATATCATTGTACTTGTCTTGTAGTCTTTATTGGATGAGAAGACTCACAACATACTATACACAGATATACCCCCTAATTATCCCTTACTCCAAACGAACCACCCCTTCTTCATTGATACTCGGGTTGTTCCATTATTCTACAGGGCAAAAAATCTTTTCCCACGCTGCCTACAATGTTTTTATTGGCAGGTTGGGATGTAGGCAGTTTGGAACTGTAGGCAGTATCGGACCTAACCTAACCATGCATTTCTACTTGTCACATATGCGACTACGGGTATTACATATTAACTGTTGATCAACAGCTCAACTGCTGATTGTCATTGATGACCCGAGTCAAGAGTAGGCTGGCCTGGTCTCTATCACAACTGTGTGTTTACGTTTTGAATAATAATCATCTTAAGCTTCCCGTTGATGAAACTCTCATAAGGCAAAGGTAAAATCTCGTTATGGCTAATGACAAAGAGACAGCCAATAGTAATAGTAATTAAATTCATGAGTTCTATAAGTGTTGGTTAATTTCAACATAAAATACACGTGATGTGCAAGACCTCTTATTCCCGAGAGTAGGTTTAAAACACTGCACAAATATATGGCTTGTTGTCAAAGTATACCTGTCATATTGGACTGATTATTCAGGTTTCAGACTTTCAGGTTGCGTGGTCGAGATCCAGTATTATTCAAATCGATGGAATATAGCTGAAAAATTGCTGATCGGTGCTCTCAACAAGACGCGCTAAAGGAATTTCGGAATCTTGAGGAAGTATTTAAGTATTTCAAAGATTATGTTTATTTCTTTGCAGTTTGTTGTTGTTCACCAAACGCATTAGGATCACCCCCAGAGGCCGAATTCCAACCACCACCATATTCAAAGTGCTGAACAGGATATCACCTGATATCACCATAGTTTGCTTCGACATTCACACAGACGTGTCAATGCCAATAGTCTGTCAAACGCATATGACTATGAGTCCAAATGGTCGACTGCAAGGGACTCGCATTATGAAGCGATAAATATGAAAGACTTTTTTTCCGCGTAAACGATCATCTCATTGTTAGCTACTTGAGGGAAGTTGACCAGTACCATAATGTGAATAACAAATTGACTGGTTTTGAATTTGATGCTAGACATTTCTTCTTTTAACTAATAATGTAATGAATATATATGTTTTCAAAATAAAGCTCATTTGTTCTTTGTACTTCAAATGTATATGAATTCAGACTTGATCTCATCACTATATGGTTGGAAAAATGCCGATGAGACGTAAAACCCAACTCAGCTCAACTCAACTCTTACACTTATACAGATATCTTGTCCACTCGAAACTTGATTATGGTTCAATCGTAGTATGTAACTGCGATCTCATACTATTAGATTCTGTCCACCACAAGGTCTAAAACTTTGTCTTGGAACTTTTAGAACTTCTCCTATTGATAGTCTCTACGTCGAACCATCTCATAGGCATCACGGTATAAATTTCTCTTTACAGTATCTGGCTAAACAATATTCAGATAAGTCCAACTGTCTCCAATGCCCTCTATTAGGATTTGTACAATAAGAAGTCTTCTCTTGTTCCGCCTATTGGGCTAAGAGTCAAATCTTTCATGTCTGCTGCTGGCTGAGCTAGAAAATATATCTCCTTCCCGTGTGCTTTCTTGTCCTCCTTGGCACTAGTTGACCTTACATTGACCACATTAAAAACATCTGAAACTAATGAATTACAATATAGACAAAAACATTAAATTAAATAATAAATGTAACACATAGAAATCCTTATTTACAGATGGTTCCAGGGCTGGTGGCGCTGTTGCTTGTGCCACTGTCTTTGGATACAGAACAATATATTCCAGATTACAGAATCACAGGTCAATTGTCACAGCCGAAGCATGTTATTAATAAACACCCCACATATAAGGAATATACATAGCCTTCAGGCTATTTAAAATCGTTCTGGCAAGCATCCACTTTTAATTGAAATCATTTAATTATATCATTGCTACTGGCTAATGCGACATCATTGTTTTTGGTTACCCAGCCACGTTGGCATTGCTGAGAACACAATGGCCATTAGTGCTGCTCAGGCAGCACTAAATAAATCTATGACACCACTTCTTATTCCATTGTCTCATTACAAAGCTATCATCAGATCTTATATCCGAAATCTGAGGTTACATAATCCCCCGCCGCAAATTAGCAAATCAAACTTAAAAAGTAATGAAAGGGAAGGTCGTCATTTAAGATAAAGTTAAATGTCAACAAAAACATGACCAGTCAACCTCTCTTGATATTTCTGTAGTTGTTCAAAAGCACAAATATTATAAAGGCTCACTTTGACCTTGACATGAATGTCTTAGTGTATGAAATATGCAAAAACAGTAATAAAGAAATAGCTTATTGAAAAACATTCAAGGGAAGTCTTGAAAGTCTATCCGCCAAGGATGTGAACATGATCGACAAACATGAAATATCGATTTTTTCTATACTCAAGAATTATGAATACGATTGCAACAAGAGTTCATGTTCATGTTCATGTGTGTCTCACTAGGCCTCTCATGATAACGTCGCTGAATACAAAATAAGACAAAGACTGAATTGCAATGACAGTTCAAATTTAGAAAAAAAGAAATATATACCTAAGGTCGAGACGTACATATTTTACTGTTTTGAGTATACAATATCGAGGCAAATCAACACATATGTACCAAAATGCAACGTACCCAGTGCCTTGCGTTAACAGCCTAAAGTGGGCGAATCAGTCCATGTTTTTAGGGTTGCATTTCAGAAGTTGGGAAGTACAATATAGACAAAGGTTATGGATAACAACTTCTATATTATATGAGTGTGACGTTTCCATACAAATTCTTGTAATGCTGTGAAGCAGGGATGATCTGACAATCCCCTTGCTTAACAACGTGTTGTAAAGTAAACCCCAAACAACAGGTGTGTACATACTTTTGTACATGAGTATATGTATTGGAACCATTCGGCGATCGCCAAAGTTGAGAAATTGGTCATTATGCTGACGGTGGTAAATGAAAACATCACGCACGCACGCACACAGACATTCCACTTCATAATATATTTGAACTGATTATCAATTTGGTCTCGCTCACTGCGTAATTGCAAGGTATAGACTAATCTCAACTATGAAACCATTCTAGATTCTTTGACCTTCCTGTCAGTTTACCCCTGTCATGAGTAATACTCGTGTAGCAAGTCACGCCCGCTGATAACAGTTTTATGTGGGTTTAAACTGGCTGATATCTCTTTGAATTATTGCCCCCATAATTCTGTTCTCCTATATGACCTAAACACCAGTGATCACGTTGGCTTAACTATTTAAATGTTACGAGTCACTATCTATATTTAACAATACGAATACACAATGCCAGAAAGTGTTTAAATGTGATACATGTTGTATTCAGAATTACACTTTCTCAGTAAAGTAAAGATTCTTGTGCAGTTGTTGGGTTCATTCCCTTCCGGGATTCGAACCTACTCTCTTTAGGAGTCAGGCACCTTATCGCCAGCACACAAATTCACCCGTCTAACCATGTTTTAATCAAGTCATATCAGGTTAACGATATGATATATGATGAGAGAGAATATACTGTGATAATTTCAATAGCAATGATAAGTGCTTATTGAAAAAAACCAAGATCATATAAATCTGACTGGTGAGGCTCGCGTGAAGTGGCTGACCGTGTGTCGTTATAACCTCATGGCGAGGTTCGTTGTTCATGGCATCAACCACAAGATGATCGGACCCAGTCTCAGTCATTTACAGCCGCTGGGGTTTTTGTTGAGCAAACATGAAAATACATTAATATTTCTGCGGGTCTGACACGTTATACAACCTTGCCAACGTCAAGAACGTACCTGTGCTCCTTTTTGCTGATTTCATGACGGGGTATTAAGTGGTAGGAGAAGAAAAGTGTGTTTATGAGAGGGTGTGTGTATGAGAGGCTGAGGGGTTTCCGAGTGGTGTCTTTATGTACTACCTTTCGATCACTTTACCTAAAGTCCAAAAGGGATGATTGAATATGCTTTCATCAGCTTACAGCAACATTCATACAGAAAAGTACATACAGTAATGTCTCCGTAGGAGACACCATCATAAGTTTGCTTCACACAATGTACCCATGCGGGAATCGAACTTGGTACTTTGGCGTGAAGTGGCTTAAAATATTGTCATGCTGTGACCATGATTGACAAATGTGAAACATCCATTTGTTTCTAAACTCAGGAATTATGATGTAGTAAGTGAGTGACTTAAGATTTATAGTCACATTGGCAATATTCCAGCCATATTGTGACATAAAAAGATATAATTTAACAATAAATGCAATTTAATTATAAGAACCTATCAACAACGAGCCGGTAAAATAACTAGATTATCACAGTTACAGAATTCAAACTAGCAGGTAACATTTGAAATTAGACAAATGGAATAGATAATACAATAGAAAAACGGACTGGAGATCACCAGCAACTGAAGGTAGATCACCATGCTAGGGACCATGGGGACTTACAGTGCTTTTGCTACCTGCGACTAAAGGCACAATGTCACACATTTTCGACAATAAGTTGGCCTATATTATATACACTTGGGGTAGAGGGGTTGAAATAGTCCCAAATGACGTCATCGAACACCTGGCTGACCTCATTTCACAGGGGGCAATGACCGCGTACCCCGTGGGAAACGCATCATAGCATCACACCATGACATCACGCCATTATTTTGGACCAATCAGCGTACTCACTCCGGTGTGACTCACGCTGACTGGGGTCAATGACTGCGCGCCCCGTTGGAAACGGATGACACATCATTGCATCACACCATGTCATCACGCCATTATTTCGCACCAATCAGCGTAGAACGACTATCGATCTCACTGGACCACTGACCACTAACTGGTTTCATCCGGTTTCAATTCTACCTATATAAACCCCCTCTGACAGTGAGTTGAGGTTATCATTTTGTCGTTTTACAAAATGTTCATAATTTTCATACTCAATAACCTTTTCTGTCGCCTGTGGAGAAAAGCTGTTGTCTAAAAGCGCGCGCCGTTGAGGCATGGCGACTTACACTCGCTGCCTCCACACACTTCCCTCGTCTCACCCAGCCAAGGTGTGATATGATACCTCCTCAAAATGTACTCAAAATCGTGGGTCTAACATTAGCCTGTCTCAGGGTCCCTGAACCATAAATATTTTCTCTAAAGCGTAGCCCTTCCTGCAGTGCTAAGGCTCTAAATGAAGTCTAGATTTTTTCCCAGGCCTGCCTTGGGCTCAAAAAGTTTGTTTGTTACTATCAAAATTAAATATTCAGAGACTAAACATTAGTCTAGTCTAACATGTGCACACATATGTGTAAAAGAAACTATATGGGATCAGTTCACGGGTTTTATAACACATTTGTTCAATGCAATATAGACCAGCGTTCATTGCCACATGAAAATTGTTTGAGTTTGTCTTGACCATCACCAAAACAACCCAACTAAAAAGAATTTCAAATGTATTTCAAACTTACCGGTATTGACCTTCCATATTTGAACATCCAATATCCAATCCATATTGTCATTGTATCCTGCCTTGTAATGCGATAAATATAGGAATCAGGGATGATATTGAGATGCACCTTCCATGTAAATATAACATATGTTATATTTGGGATTGTGTCGTTCCGCGCCCTCTCTCCTTCAGTGCAAGCAGAGAGACGCGATCTGGTGACCCACATTTGCGTGTGTTGGACTATGCTGTAGCGGGGGGCAGGGGAGGGATGAAGGGTGGGGGGACTGCTGGGGCAGGGGGAGGAAGGAGTTTCTGTCGACGGTAAGCCTGGCGAGATTTCTCGCGAGTGTAAACAGCCTATGTTAATATGGTGAAATTAGCAGCCCATGAATTACTCCCTACTCTCAAACTAAACAGTATGATTTTGTATTGCATGCATGCATCACGATATGACATTGCTTGGTGTATTTTAAAACCAAAAACATCCATAAATATAACACTATATGCTCGTTAGATAAAACACTAGCTAGGGCGTGTCAGCTGTGGCTTTAGAAATGTGCAGGCTGTTCATGGACATTGTACGTGCGCTTCCCAACCTCTTTAGGAATGAGGGACGGTGGGGTAGCCTAGTGGTTAAGGCGTTTTCTCGTCACGCCGAAGACCCGGGTTCGATTCCCCACATAGGTAGAATGTGTTAAGCCCATTTCTGGTGTTCCCCGCCGTGATATTGCTGGAATATTGCTAAAAGCGGCATAAAACCAAACTCACTTTAGGAATGCAACTGTCATGGAATTCATCTAAAAATCCACCATGAAAGAGTAATCATAAATCAATGAATGACAACGCATTGGTGTATATTATTATTATTATTATTATTATGTTTTACAGATTAAAAATTGTATGCAGCAGAAAGGGTTCGGGTGATCCTGGCACAGTCAGGCTGGTAAGGCTCATCATCCGCTCAGGGCCCTTGCCCCCTCTACACGCAGCCCAGACAGCGAATGGGACTTCTCCCAGGAAACGCTGCCTAGTCGAACCCACCAAGAACTTTCCGGAGAATATGAAGGCTCCCCAACACTGCAGCCTTCTGCATTACCCAGAGTGTCAGAAGGGCTGTGCTCCCGGTCGAGAACCCGGGCACTCTCCTGATCTGCGCCAAGAGATCAGGAGGTAACAAACCAAGGGCACCGAGAACAATGGGGAGCCTGACGACAGTGTACTTGGGATGCAAGCGAGACATTTCAAAGGCGAGGTCCGCATATTTATCATGCTTTTCCTTAATCTTGCCAATCACATTGGTGTCAAAAGGGACAGAAAATTCAATGATATAAATAAATTCATTGGCTTTATCAAAAAGGACAAGATCAGGTTTGTTTGCAGGAATTCTTCTGAGGCTGTATATGGGCCTATTCCACAGAAGTTTGAAAGTATCATTTTCCATGACGCCCTGGACATGTTCAGGGTCGTACCATGGATGGACCTCGGAGTCAAAGCCACAGGCATGTCGGAGACGGTAGTAAAAGCAACGAGCCATGCCATCATGTCGTTTAAGATATGCTGTTTGTCCCAAGGAAGGGCATCCACTGACAAGGTGTTGGACAGTCTCTGTAAATTCATTGCAAAGTCGACATGTCATATTAATATTCTCTTTATGAATCACATTTAGGCGATTACGAGTGGGAAGTGACTGGTCCTGAGCGGCAAAAAGGAAGCCCTCAGTTTCACATTTAAGACCAGCCGACTTCATCCAGGCGAAGGAGTCGATGGGATTGCTATTCTGTTCAACACACTGCATGTACACACGATGCAATGGCTTCTCAGAAAGCTTCTCCACAAATGACCGACTCTGGGCAGACTTGGTGAAGGACTTCACCTGGTTTACTCCCATCACTGTACCGTCCAGCAGTACATCGCCATTAACAAAGTCAACCTCAAATTTCAGATTCTGTCCAACAACCTTGGCACGCTTAAAATAGCTGTGGAATTCCTTGCTTTGATCATGAGTCTTCACATGCATCACCAGAGGATCATCTGATAAATAAATATGTGCAAAAGTACACAATAAAATTCTATCATGAAGAGCCTCCACATTAATCAAACCCCGACCTCCAGAATTGATTGGCATGTATAAACGGTTAAGAGAGGAACGAGGGTGGTGGGCTCTGTTATCAGACATGATCCTTCTGGTCAGACGGTCAAGACTCTGGATGTCTTGTTTCGTCCAATCAACTACTCCAAAGGAATAGGAAAGGACTGGCACAGCAAAAGTATTGGTGGCTTTGACCTTGTTTCGAGCATTTAGCTCTGAGCTCCAGATTTTCTTTAAACGAGATTTATACTCGGCCCGAAGTTTGTCTTGAATCTGGGCATCCTGGAGCTTATCTCGAACTTGCATTCCAAGATAGGTGTAGGCCTGATCTTCCACAAGATGCTCAATAACTCCTCCCCCTTGTAACCTGACCGATCCATCATTAGTTACCTTGCCACGTTTCAAATGAAGAGTATTACATTTGTCGAGTCCAAATGTCATGCCAATATCATTAGAAAAGGACTCGACAAGGAGAACCTGCTCTTTCAAATTGGAATCTCCTTTGGCAAGGAGTTCGATGTCATCTATGTAAAGGAGATGAGTAAGAGGTGTTGGGGATCTGTGTTGAGGAGGTCCGGGATGGTAACCCTCCTCTTTATTGAGCAGAAAGCTCAAAGGATTTAGAGAAAGACAAAAAAGCAAAGGACTAAAGGAATCCCCCTGAAATATTCCCCTTTTGATAGGAATAGATTCCGAAGTCTGCACCTGCCCTTGTGAGTACATCTCAAATTGAGTCGACCAGCAACTCATTAAAGACTTGAGTAAATCAAGTAGTCGCTGAGGGAGGTCAATACAATGAAGAGACTTCAGAATCCATTCGTGAGGAACAGAGTCGTATGCTTTTTTGTAGTCAATCCAGCACATGGAGAGGTTGCGGTGATATGTTTTAGCCTCTTCCAAAATCATTTTCTGTACAAGAAGTTGATCCTTGCACCCCCAACATCCCTTTCTTGCTCCCTTCTGCTCTCTGTAAATGATATCATTGGAGGAGCAGTAAGATGACACGAGGTTTGTCAAACACCCTGTGAATATTTTGTATTGTGTATTCAAACATGTGAAAGGGCGGAAGTTTTTGGGATCAGTCAAGTCTCCTTTTTTTGGAAGGAGTATTGTTCGACCTTTGCAGAACCACGGAGGAACATCACCTGTGTCCACGAGAGTATTAAAACAGTGTAGTAATGGTGTTTGGACACTGGGGAACAGTTTCTAATACCGGTTTCGAATGCCATCAGGCCCTGGAGCTGTATTAGATTTGGACTTTTTTATAACACTTTTCAGGCAATCTGGTGAGATGTAACAGACAAACGACCTAGTTACTTTCTCATGCATTGCATGGTAATAATCACGGACCCATGGTGCCTCAAGGTTACAGTTGCCGGGTACAGACCACAACTGTTTCCAGAACCTTTCATTGGCATCCATGGGAGGCCGTTTATCATGTTCACCATCACCCTTTGTTTTCAATTGCCTGTAAAAGTGCTTTTCATTATTTCTAAAAAGTTTATTTTGTTTGATAAATTTATTTTTCTTTTCCCATTTTTTCTTTCTTTCAGTCCAAACCCTTATTTTTGCCTTAAGGGAATCGACAATTTGGAGAAGTACCTTTTCTTTTGTTGTCTTGTATTGTAATTTTAATTTTCTCAAAATTGACTTTTGCCGTTTTGACATTGGACTTCCTGATGATCTTAACTTCAGGCACAGCTCTATCCAGGAAATGTATTTTCGAGTTTCCGTTAGTTTTACTTGAAACCGTTTTTTCTTTGGTGTATTGTTCTTATTATTAGATGATTATTCTTTGGAAACTGTGTGAAGTTCCTCCAAGGTTCGAGCTGCAGCATAGACACAACAATTAACTTCATGTAATGAACAGTCCGATGAAAGTTTCATAGAAATAATATCATTTAATAAATTGATTTCATTTTTGGGAAAAGATTCATTTGTTTGTTTAATTGGCCTCCGATTTTCTAAAGGTATGCCAGATATTTCATCATAAATAGAATGAAACAAAATATACACAGGGTTTTCGGAAAGATCTGCAACTGAAGAAGAGGAAGAGTGAGGGTGTGAAATTTCGGGGCCAATTAGCTCTTTGTCGGAAGAGTTTCCATCAGCAAGAGGAAAGAGGTTAACACGGACGTCCATCAGAAGTTTTGGGTCTGCTGCCACTTGAGCATTCTGTTCATGCAAAGGTTCCTGACGGGCACCAGTTGTGGGTTGAACTGGCTCACGGGGCAAGAGATTTTTAAGCCGCCGGAATTGATCTCGGAGATTTTGCTCAGTCAGGTAAGCATACATGGGCATGGCATTGTCCCAATGCAGCTTCAGCGACTTGCCATTGATACGTGGATTTTCAGGCCATCCTGTCGCTCTCGCACACTCAAGTAGTGTGGTTTTAAGGTGGTTTGACCAAGATATTCTTGGTCGGGTTCTGTGCCTTCCCCTGGGGCAAGTCCCATCTCCAGTATGGTTAGTGTCACTACCGGAGGAAGGCTGACTGGGCTGCGGAGTTGAAAGATAAAATTCTTCTTGGCTATTTGTAACCCAGTGAAAAAACAGCTTCGGGGGGTCAGCCCTAACTGGGTGATGTACGTTCAGTTCAGGGAATAAAATTCCCCCTATCTAGGCCCACCACGAAGAGGCGTACATCATCAGGCCCTTATTATTTTTATTATTATTATTATATGGGTATTCATATAGCGCTATAGTCCATCCCGCATGCATGCTCAAAGCGCTGGTAAATTTTCCCTTATATGTCAATCTCAGTCATATTACCATTCTCAACTCCTCGGGGATCATCTTGCTGCCACTAGGCGCACCAAGTGAATGTGGCTTTCCCATCCTAACGAGGTATACATGACAAAAAAAACAAGATATACTGATTTCATTTTGTATTAGCCCTGTTTCAAACGAGTAGGGTTTAGGATAGGAGCAATCCCAAAAGTCTACTGTACATTGCCTGCATCGTCGTCCTGTCCTTCACTCTCTTCATCAGATGTTATGTCTTCATCTTCAGGCAAGCCTTGCTCCCAAGACATGTATTTGTACAAGTTTGATATCGTGTAAATGTCTTTGTAAGTTGTGGTTATTGCTAAACAATTGACCACAATAGTCACAATCTGACAGTGGACGTGGTGCCTTCACAGGAGAGAAGGTGTCGTCTTCCTCCCACTTCCTTTTAACTTGGGGGATTCCCGGTGGACCCACTGAAGACTTTACGGGACACCAGTTTCTTCTGTGTTTTTGCAAGTCAGAAGGATCTTGACACATGAGTCCACAGTCATCACAAAATGGCATGGTTTGGAGGTTTTCTTCACACGTCTGCACACTCGGACTGAATGGTCCTAGCTTGGAGGTCTCCTTTTAAACTGAATGCTTTGGGACGAAGTTGTAAATGTGGTCTTTGGGATTTTAGATCAACCAACAAGTAGCCATTTGGTTTCTGGGTAGCCCTTTGAAATGGCTCCATGAAATTGGTCTGTGTTACCTGGATACATTTGCTTCACCAAAGTCATGAAGGGTTGTTGATCGATAGGGTTGTTGAGCAGAAGCAGATAATGACAGTTTCTTCATTGTGTGGGATCCTTACTGAAATACAAATTCTGGTGCAAGGCTATCACTGAGAGATTACAATGATGACTTCCGTCTGTAAACAGATCTGGAATGCGCAGATCTTTGCTGGCACTAGACATTAAGTCATCGAGGATAACCACGTTTACCACACTGGGGTCCAGAAACGCATCCTTTTCGAGTTGAGTTGAGTTGAGCTTTACGTCACATCGGCATTTTTCCAGCCATAAAGTGACGAGAACAAGTTTGCATTAGTAAATATTGTAAGTACATACTCGGAATGAGTTTTATTTCAAAGACATTTATTGATTACATTGTCATTCAAAAGCAGAAAAAGTCAGAGCATCAAATTTAAAGGCAGGCGGTTTGTTACATTTCATAGTTACAATTTATGGTTGTTACATTTCGCAGTTACAATTTATGATACAGATCAACTTCCCTCAGGTAGTTCAGTATCAGATGGGCGCTCACGCTGGAGAACAGATCTTTTAGGTTTGTTGCATGATAATGTGAGTCCCTTGCAGGCGATAAGTCCACGCATTCAAGCAGAATATGCTTGATGGTGAACACCTCATCGCAAGAGACACACAT